TGACAGCTGCCGCCCCGCCCTCCGCCGGCGGGTCCTAGCGCCCGCCCAGCAGCCGCCGGACGCCTGGGTTCTCTCCCCAGCCCTGGGAGAGGAGGGGGGTATGGAGCGGGGGCGGTTGGGAGCCAGGACTCCTCGGTTCTCTCCCCAGCTGGGGAGGAGGGGGCATGGGGGGGGGGGGCTGGGAGCCAGGACTCCTGGGTTCTAATGGGTAAAGCAAGGCATGGGGCGGGAGCCAGGACTCCTGGGTTCTAATGGGTAAAGCAAGGCATGGGGCAGGAGCCAGGACTCCTGGGTTCTCTCCCCGACTCTGGGAGGGGAATGGGGTCTAGTGGGTTAGAGCAGGGGGGGCTGGGAGCCAGGACTCCTGGGTTCTCTCCCCAGCTCTGGGAGAGGAGTGGGGTCTAGTGGGTAAAGCAAGGCGGGGAGCCAGGACTCCTGGGTTCTATTCCCCTTTCTCCCTGGATTCTGTAGGTGCTCGCTGGGCGGCCCCAGCATCTCCCACCTCGAAGCGATTTCAGTCCGGGGGCGGGCAGCAAGAACCTAGAACCTGCTCCCCCATCCTCACCCCCCAGGGCACCCCACCGAGCCGACACCCCCTAGTGGGGCAGGGCCCCTGTGTCCCAGACCCCACTCCCTCAGCCCACCCCCTGGAGGGGAAAGATCTCATGCCCCATGTTTCTAGTCTCTGGGTTCATGTGGGGTGCACAGGCTGGGGGGAGGAACCCCACGTGCAGGGGCAACTGGACCCATTCAAGTTCCAGACTGGGGTCGCCTGTCGTCCGCCCCCACTACCTCTTTCAGCCCCGTGACTGACAGGTCCTTTTTCCGCTATGCAGAACCACTTCTCTATTCCCAGCACCTCACCGGATCTGGGGCGGGGCTGCGGCCCCCCCTTCCCCCACCTGCCCGAGGGGTTCTTCGAAATGCACCGAGCGCCCCCTTGTGGCCAATGGGCAGCAGCCCAGCTGTGTCACCTACTGGGTTTAAAATAAAATCGCAGCGGTGAGGGGAGCTGAGTGGGGTTAAGTGTAGGGAGGAAGAACCCAGGAGTCCTGGCTCCCAGCCCCTCCCTGCTCTAACCCGCTAGACCCCATTCCCCTCCCAGTGCAGGGAAAAGGCGGCGATTCGTTGGTGGCTGTACCCATTCCAGCAGGGATCCCCCCGCTCGATGCCCCCCAGCTCCAGCCCCACAGGGACTCCGTGCCAGCACAGGGCAGAGACGGCTAGATTCTTACCCCACCGGCCTGCGCTGCTCCCCAGCAGGAGGTGACGCAAGGAGCCGGTAACCAGACCCCGGGGTTCCTCTTTCACACCCTCAGACACTTTCACTTGCAAACCTCTGGGCTCGCCCGCCAGCCCCGGTGCCAGTCTGCCACCAGCAGGGCGTGGGCGGGTATCGGGGTGAGCTCTTGTGCCAGCTCAGAGCCAGCGCCCTCTAGGGGGAAAAGGGCCCTGGCCCTTTCCCCACCCCCCAGACCCAGCCAGTCCCCCTTCCTGGGGCTGGATTGGAGCTGGTGCCCCCTCGAGGGGAAAGTCCCCATGTCCCATTCCTGCCCCCCTGAGCAAGCCAGTCTCCTGGCCTGGGGCTGGATCGAGGCCAGTGCCCCCTAGAGCAGGGGTGGGCAAACTATGGGCAGCACGGTAAGGGGGCACAGAGTGGGGGGCTTGGATAGAGGGCAGGGGAGTTCAGGGTGGTGGTCAGGGGGCAGGGGTGTGGATAGGGGTGGGGGCAGGGGTCCCAGGGGGCCAGTCAGGAAGGAGGGGGGTTGGATGGGGTGGCGGGGGTTCCGGGGGCAGTCAGGGGACAGGGAGAAGGGGTGGTTGTATGGGGCAGGGGTCCCAGGGGAGCCCCCCCATCAGGAGTGAGAGGAGTTTAATGGGGCAGCGGGAGGCCAGGGGACAGGGAGGTGTGGATGGGGCAGGAGTCCCGGAGGAGGGGGAGGGCAGATAGGCGGTGGGGGCCCCCTCCCCTAACCGGCCCGCCATACAATTTCTGAAACCCGATGCAGCCCTCAGGCCAAAAAGTTTGCTCACCCCTGCCCTAGAGGGTAAAGGCCCCATGTCCCACTCCCCACCCCTGAGCCAGCCAATCCTGGGTCGAGATTGGAAAAACAGCCAATCACACACACACACACACACTCTCTCTCTCTCTCTCTCACACACACACACAGATGTCACGGGCAAGAGAGATACACACGAAAACCTGAGACCCACAACCAGGCTAAGAACAAATATAAATAACCCCCATTTGGGTGTCTGTATTTTTTTTTTTTTTTTTTTATTTTTTTTACAATAAAAGTTTAATGACATTTATAAAAATGTGCTTGTCTGGCACCAAGTATTGAATCCACAACGTATTAACATATGTACAGTAGGAAACCGAGGACAGCAAATTAAAGAGAGAGCGGAGGGAGATCGCTCGTACTTTGGTGAAGAAGGGGTAGGGGAATGTGTCTGTTTTCTTCACTCTCTGAGCCGTTCAGCTCCCCCCAGCTCGAGAGATCTTTGACAACACACACGGAGAGAGGGGGAACTTTTGGAGGGTGTTTTTTGACCTACCCTAGAGCTCTGGGAGTCGGTTCTGAGTGGGGTTTTGTCTGATAGCGAGGTAGGGGGTGATCTTTTCTCCCATCTGAGTTTCTGATCTGGTTTCTCTCGGCTCAGACGCTTGGACAGAGATAATTGGAAACTGCTTTGCGTCCATGTCTAGTTCTGGCTACTTTCTGTGCCCCCACCTGGAGCAGGATTCCTTCTTTGGGGTTTCTTTCCAAGAAAGCGACGGTTCAGCTGAGACGGGAGAAGAGAGCTCCCAAAGCCTCCCATACCCAAGAGATCCAAACCCTCAAAGGCAGAAGGGAAGGAAATCTCAGACGACAGGCGTCTGTTTAAGAGACCTACTTAATGCGATTGCTGAACGTAAGGTTGGTGAGTTCCAACGGAAACGGACGAGGTCTGAGACACGTCGGGATGCAGACAAGACACAGGCCTGTTTGACTCTTAAATCAAAGTCCGTCCGATGGGCTGGCATCGCTTTCCATTCATGGGGGGTGGCTGGGCAGTTAAGAGGGGAAGAGTTCGTGGCTTTGGAATTAAATCAAGAAGAGGTGTTGACTAAACAAAAAGAAAAAAAATCAGTTGGTGGGGTCAGATGACAGGGTGATTCACGCCTGGCAGAGATCTGAATGGGCAGCTACCACGACAGATATTCCCCATAGTAGATGGGCTTTGAAATTGATTTTCTCCCTCCTGGATGAGCTGTTGAGCAAAAGGTGAAGCTGTGATTTTTCAAAAGCCGACTCCTCAGTGCCAGGTTGTCTTTCCAACCAGGGCCATTTAGAAACCCGACTCCCATTTATCACTGAAGCTCAATCTCGTGGTCTGTTTTGGAGAGATGCAGGGATCGCCGAGATCCAACGAGAAACAGGAGCTGTGGCCCACACCCACCGAAGTCAACGGAGTTAGACATCTATATACCGTCGAGGATCTGGACCTGTGCGTCTCTAAGTGACCACGGGAGCTTTGAAAAGCTTGAGAGACTAGCCTAAAAGCCTTGGCTAATATGCATATTCCAGAGCAAGGGCCTGAAATCTTGCTTTCTGAGCTGACAGGAGGTCCCCATTCTCCCCACACCTGTGCGGAGCCGGAGTGGCAAAAACATTTGATCCGACACCAAAAGCTAGAAGCGAGCCCAGAGATTAAAAACAATGCTGAGAAAATGAGGCAAGTTACAAACCCATTGCAGACAGAAACGGTTAAAAAAAACCAAACAAGGGGCTGGTGGGTTTAAAAATCGGTAAACCAGCTTCAAATTGGGGGAGTTCTGAGTTGTTAGGCACATGTTAAATGCCCCGTATCGCAGGCGCTACAGAGACTGCTTCCTAGCTTAGAGCCCGCTCGAAAGAGGGGACACAGAGACATGAGTTTCATTGGCGCTTGAGTGTAACGTTTTAAAAACAAGCCTTTCCTTCTAGTCTCCTACACGCCCAAGAGGGAAAATTGATGTCCAAGATGATCTCATTGGGAGGAAAAGTTGTGCACTGTATTAAAGTTGAATTAAATAATACACAGAGGAAACTGCCAGTTTCAGTGGGTTAAGAGGTTCGAGTCTATAGCCCATGGCTGGTGTATTTCTATCTAGCGAGTTGCAGGGGGGACGGCAGGTTTAGATGTCTTCACCGTGCACGGGGCGGAGTTTGGACAAGAGACACACTCAGTTACGATTCAGCGAGAAATAAATTGGTCACAAATGTCACTCTACAGGAAGGGGCAGATTCTGCTCCAGGAGTAAATCCAGAGTGAATCTGTTGATGCCAGTGTGATTCTGCAATCGATTCCACTGATTCCAACAAAAGTTGGTTACACCTGAGGAAATCTGGAGTGACTTTAATGGAGTCTCTCCAGGTTCAGACTGGTGTAACTGGGATCCGAATTTGGCCATAGCCCTGCAGAACTCAGTGGAGTCACTCTGGATTTACTCCAAGATTCTCCCACTGCCCATCTCAGATGAACCGTTACCCAGTTCAATTTCATTTGCTAAAAACTCTCCGGGGGACAGACAGCCGCTGACAGCTGTGTTTTCCCAGCATGGTGACATGATGGCAGAGGCAAAGCAGTTTCCAATCAAAGCCAGAAAGGTTTCCAACAGCCAAGGTTCAGCGGTTCAATCTCATGAGATGTTGAGGCCTTCTTCTGACGGTCACCAGGAGAAAGATTTGAGCTCAAGACAAAAAGCTTTTGAAGCAGACTTGAGGAAAGAACAACCTTGATTCTTCAGACACTGCTATTTCTGGGGTGCCCACACGGACACCTGAAAGGGGCCTGACTTTCAGGAAATGGTGACTATCTGCCCCCGGAAGCCAGATATTTGTGTGGAATCTCGAGCTAGCCACCCCAAAAATCACTAGCCATTTTGGAAAAGCGGATACTTGGCTGGCAAAGGAGAACAGCGCTAAGGGTGACAATTTAGTTGTCGATCTCAGCTCTGGCTTTACACCTCGGAGTCCCGTATAGGAAGGGCAATGTATTGGCATCTAGATCGGCCCTGTGGATGAGAGAAGAGAATTTGCGGATGGATACATGGATAATCTGAGGTGAACGCAAAACTAAACGAGAAGAGAATTTGGGGATGGAAGTGTAGGTGTGGATAATCCAAACCTCGAAAAGGCAGATGCAACAACAAACAAGATTTGGTGATTTACGCTTTAGCACAGAACAGCCCAAAGCTCAGAAACAGGGACAGGAATTTAACTGCCTTCCCAAACAAAATCCCATCAAAACACAGTTGAAGGCAAATCAACATCTCATAGATTGGACCCCAGACAGTCCAGCCACCTTGACAAAATCCACCGGGGAGGAGCGTTCATCTTTTGAAAACAAAGCCACCATCCCAACCAGCGTCAGGTTGAGACTCACGAACACCACCACAAAAGTTGGGGCAAGATTGGCACCATATCCACAAGCCAGATTTCCTGTTTTCCCGTCTTTCAGAACCGACTCCCGTTAAAAAAAGCAACTCAACAAACTATATTTTCTCCAGTGCCCATCCATAAAGGGCTTTCTGTTTTCACCCCAGGGATAATAAAGCAAACTTCGCATCGAAGGAAATTAAATTGGGGCGAGGGGAAAAAAAGATAGCTGTTATTTACAACCATTTTTTTCTTTTTTAGTCGGAAGAGGGGAAAAAATAATAAAAAGAATATTTACATACCAATAACTTTTGTGTGTTTCTACAAGAAACAGCCAGTCCATCTGGAATATATACACAACTTTCTTCTCCTAAAGAAAAATTAACAGGGGGTCTTGATTCCGGTCTCGGCTTACACTGGAAATACGTTCTGCCCGAGCGACACCAGGGTGAGCGAGAGGAGAATCCAGCCCCTTTATTATTATCTATTTGTGTTTTTATTTTAATTTTTAATATGTCGGGGGGGAGGGAGGGGCACACACTGATTGGCAGCAGGATACGGAGATGAAGTGATCTGATTGGTTCTGTTATATTTGAGAGGGGACTGGGTATTGTTTTGTTTTGTCCAGAGGGAAAGATTTCTCCACAGAAATATCAGGGCATTAATGCTAAAGGGGTGCGGGACTTTGCGAGGCACTGTAAGCAAAGGGTGGAGGCTGTGTTCATAGTGGAGTGAATCAGGCGTGGCACCTGTTACAAAACTGATGAGAGGGGGAACAGAACAGTAAAAACCCGACCATGCTAAACAGATCCTCCCCCGCCGTAGAGGGCGCTCGGGAACTACCTGGTGCGGGTGGGAAGAGCAGCAGGGACAACAGATGGAGGGACAGGAA